AGGGCAAGAGCAATGCTACTTCCCTGGTACCGAAGAAGGCAGCAGCCACAGCCAAGGCTCCTAAAGGGGCGGCTGCCCAGGGGCCTGGGAAGGAGCCAAAAGCCAAGGCAACTGCTCAGCCCAAGAGTAAGGGCACCACTGGACCCCCCCGAGCTCCCACATACCTGGTCAAGAATATCACAGCTCCCAAGGCCCCGAGAAGGCCTGGGCTGCCCGCCAAGGCCCCACCATCAAAGGTGTCGGTCAAAGAGGAACGAGCTGAGAGCTAGACGCTGGAGCAGGGAGGCTGAGATTCACCTGAAGTTTTTATTCCCCAATAAACCTTTATTCTATTTAATTGCCACTGATCTGTCAATAAATCATTTTTGTTCACCCGCAAATTGGTATAGACAGAGGCTGAGGTCTATGAGTCTGGCCATTCCATCACGAACAAAGATTTGCCTGGCTGGGCCTAGGTCCAGATTGTAGCTCCCATGCTGGGGCAGAGGGATGATGATACGGTGGATGCACGGACACTGGAGAGGGGTGCAACCTGGCTGTGAGACCTGGGAAAGGTTCCTGGAGGAGGTGGCTTTAGCTCTTAAAGGATGAGTAGGGGTCGGAGACAGAGGAAGGGAAAGGCATGGGGGACACAGCAGGGAAGTGGTTCTGGAAGGATCTTGAGGGTGAGTGGATGGGTTTTGCTGATGGGCTGGATGTGGTGGGTGGTCGATGGGGAGTGGGGTCAGCGATGAGTCCACCGTTGGGGTCTGAACATCTGGGCGGTTGTACAAGTGGCCATGTTCTGAGATGAGGACGCCAAGAGAGCAGGAGGGTCTTAGAGGTGGTCCCAATGCGGCGGCAGCTGAGCGGGCGAGGGCAAGGGCAAGGGCCAGGCCCCTGGGTGGGACAAATGCTTAACAGGTGAGGCTGCTATACTGCAGGTTGGAGGTTCCAGGTCATCCAGACATACCTCAGAAGAAAGGCCTGGCTATTTGTGAGAAATCAGCTCAGGAAAACCCCTGTGGAGCCCAGTCCTGCCCTTACGCGCATGAGGGCACAGGGAGTCAGAGCCAACTGGCTGGTTTTGCAGGGAGGTGTACCGCGGTGAGTCACAATGAGCTGGTGACCAGCTCCACAACTAACAGCCCACTGGATGAGCCTTGGGGAGTGGGTAGATTGGCACAAAGGGAAACTGAGGCCGCCAGCATGGGCTATCAGACTACTTCCCTCCTGGCCCCTTTCTTCAGCCCGTCCTCACAGAAACACCCTGGGTATTGTGTCTAGCTACCCCGACAGCTTCCTGGGGCTGTCTACAACGTGCCTGCCAGCAGGGCCCCTTGGGCATCCCAAGCAGATGGCATGGGCTGGGCCAGTGCGCCTTTGCTCCTTTCAGGGCTCTGCTAGGCATTGTGAGATATAGGCCCTAGGGGCACAGCCCTGGACATTTTTCCCTTAGCAAGATCATGGGGTTCTGCATCGGGTCAGCAGTGTTTTGTACCACGGCGTGTGAGGTCACTGTAAATGGGGGTCCAACTCATCAGTCGCTCCAACATATAGCAGAGAAGCAGACCTTGGGTGAATCGCCTCTCTGCTAGGCCACGGCTCCTCAGCTCCTGAAAGGGGTTTATTTAGTGCAAACAGTTAAGCCCTCCGCTGCTAACTGAAAGACCGGAGGCTGGAGTCCACCCAGACACACAACGGAAGAGAAACCTGGCAGTCTGCCCCCCAAATCAACCACCAAAAAGCCAGAGATGCAGCTCAGAACCCTGCACCTAGGGATCCCCTCCCCCTTCTGGGACCCTTAGGCAAGAAGAAGGGAAGCCCCTCAAGCCTGCAGCTGCAAGATGAGGTCTGCAGATGGCTCATAGAAGTGGACCACTGTCTGCGCTGAGGAATCCCCCCACCACACACACCCGACCTAGAGATGCTCTCCCTTGGCAAATGCATTTCTAAACTCCCAAGAAGGAACTGCATGTTAATCAGGCATTAAAACAGGCTGTGGAATATTTAATGACATAGAAAGATGTCGCTGACATATTGTCGCACGGGGCTGGGGTGGGGGCTGGGGGAACAGGTTACAAAATGGTGTGTACACTCGGATCCCCAATTGATTCCCCAACACCCCACCCCCACCCGAGCCAAGCCAGGATTTGGTAGGAGGACCTTTGGAAGGCCAAGCTTGCGGACAGTTAGAGGAGCTTTTGTTTGCTTCCTGCTTTTTTTGTTGTTTTTTTTTTTAACTTTCTGATATTTCTCCAGGAATGATGTATTTATTCTAGAAACACACATACACCCCCTATCGAATGTGATGACAATTTAAATTAGACAATCTGCTTAATAAAAAGGAATCAGTGCTCAGAATAGAACATGGAACGATAATGAACGGCCCCATCGAGAAGCTACCGCAGGAGAGGGTTATTTTTGAAGCACAGAATGGCGTGCTTTGTGGTTCTCGCTCTTGCAGGAGTGTTGATGCGCTTTGATGAATTTGTGTGTCCCTGTGATTCTTGATAAGTATTTGTACCAATTATTTTGCCTTCCCAGCAGGAAAGCATTCCCGGGCATTCCTTCCATTGTGCGCCGGCTCTCTGACGGGCCTTTCCTCAGGGCCAGGGAGTTCACCCTGAGTCAGCCAAAGGAGCCCTGGTGGTACTGGTGACTAGGTGTTGGGTTGCTAACCACAGGGTCAGAAGTTCAAACTTACCAGCTACTCCAGAAAAATGAGGCTTTTTGCTCCTGTCCTCAGAAAGCCAAAGTGTTCCACCCTGTCCCATAGGGTTCCTCTGAGAAAGAACTGACCCCGGGGGCAGCGGGTAAGCCAGGCAGGTGGCCCCCATGGGCCGGGGGAAGAATCAGTGTGGGGGCAGAAAAGCCTGACCCTGGGGAACAGATGCCACAGTGCCTGTGGAGAAATGGCTTGTCTCTCACCTGAAATGTGGAGTGGAGGGACACATACTGTCCAGGGCAGATGAGCACTCCAAGGTGAGCGGGGTCAGCATCAGGAGCCCCTGATGGTAGTCAACAAGCTCAGCGGCAAGTCCAAGAGGTACCTCCCAGAAATACTTATAAGCACAGCTCTCCCCTGACATGCATGTGGTTACCATCACTTGGGGTGCACTTAGCAGTGACTGTTCCCAGGTGGTCACCTTTGACCTCCCAAGCTTTTTCTGAGGCTGTTTTGGGGGTATTCGTCTCTAAGTATGGACCAGGCCACCTGTTGGCGGTGTGAGCCTCCATCACTCCAAGGCTCAGTTCCTGCATCCGTAAAATGGGGCAGCTACTACCGACGTTCCTCTGGGGCCGCTGATGGCTCAGTGGTCACACTGTGGCCTCCTGTGCAGGAGACCCGGGTTCAGTGCTGGCTGTGTGGCCATCGCCCGCCTGTCAGTGAACAGGTTTCAGTGGGGCTTCTAGGCTAAGAGTAAGAAGAAAGGCCTGGCGGATCACACTGGTCTGATTTGATACCCATCTTGGGGGTGGAGCGGGACTGTGCCGCGTTTCCTTCCTTTGGGCACGGGGTGGCGGTGAGTCGGGGACCGTTCAACAGCAGCTGAAGACATGGCATCCCTCTGCGTTACCAAGAGTAGAGATTGGCAGCAACAAGGCCTGGCCAGGCCTAGGCAGCTCATAGCCGCCTCCTGGGGGCTGGGGGGCAGGGGACGAGGGGGTGGCTCAGAGTCCAGTGAATGCTGCCGAGGCCCTGTGGCCTACATGATCTCATGTGATCCAATCTTCCCACTGCCCGCTCCTTCCCCCAGCCAGGGAGGTACCTGCCCAACCCCCCCAGGGAACATAACTGGGCAGGATCTAGCCCAAGTTGGCCTCCCTCCCCTCCCCAACGCACCCCCACCCCACGGACAAAGGCTGGAGCCCACAGCAGATTTCCCAGCATCAGGCTTTTATTACAAAGAAGGTTCCAGAGTCCTGGCCAGCCCCTCCAGCACAGCCCTCCGTGGGCCCCAAGCTGGTGCCTGCAGTGAGGAGGCTGCAGGGAGGGGTTGTTGGAGGTCTCCGCCAGGCCTGCCCTGCTCTCCGCACTAGTCCTCTCCAGTGTTGTGCTGGGAGCCCCTCGGGACCCCCTCCCCAGGTCCTCGGCACAAGCAGCAGTGTTCACAGTTGGCGCAAGATACGTTCTTTAATATATAAAAGCTTTTTTTTAAAAAAACAAAACAAAAAGTGGTGCTATCTTTAGAAACACTTCCAGCAAGTTCAAGTAGCCCAGCTACAGCCTTGATGCGTCTAACTGCTCTCCCCACCTCAAGACCAGGGGCTCCTAGCACCTGTCCCCTCTCCTGCGGCCCCTCCCTCCTCCGGGAGACTCCCAGTGCTTTTGTTTCCACCTCCACGCCCAGCCCAGGGGCAGCCTTCGGGGCACTTGAAGACCCAAACTTGGTGTGTTTGCAAGGGGGAAGGAAGCAGAGACCAACTGGAACAGGTTCCAGGAGCCCTCCCCGACGCCAGTTTGCATGAGGTAGTGTTTCTAGTGGGTGGCCTGGACCCCAGCGGCCTGCTCTGCCCTTGAGCACTGGATGGCCGAAGGGTAGGGCTTTCTCAGTATGTGGCCCCCTCCCCCCTGTGGGAACAAGAGGATAGGGAGTTGAAGCTGCACCTGGTGGAAGGGCCCTGGCCAGGGACTGCTGTCATTCAAGGCCTTCACCCAGAGACTAGGTCTAGGGACAGGCAAGAGGGGAGAGAGGTGCCCAAGCGACCTGGCGCAGAGGTCCTTCCATCCCAGGCATATCCTCTCAGTCATGTCCCACCCAGCCTGAGCCGGCCCCAGGAAGTAAAGACGGCCGAGGGCTTGGTGAGTGGAGGGTCCGGGCAGCGCCTCTCCCGTGTCCAGCTGCCTCTCAGGCCTCACTGTAACACTCGTAGATGTTGTCCTCCATCAATGCCACCACCTGTTCAAACTTGTGCTGCAGCTGCGTCCTCCTTGCTGCTGGGTTCGCCTCCAGGGCCGTCATGATCTGAAGGGAACCGTGGGATCCATCAGCCCCAGCAGACCCTCCTCCCAGGCCTGGTCCAGGGCTCCCCCACTTGGTCCGTAAGGGCAGACGTGAGGTCTGAGTCCCCACCACTACTGGCCCAGCCCCATCGGGCACAGACTTGTCTCTCCGGAGGGAAGCTCTCCTTCCGCTTCTCTGAACAAAAGGGGCCTTGGCAGGATAGATGTGGGGCAGCTGTGGGCCAGAGGGCTGGCCCCTCACCTGGTGGGCACTCACCTGGGGGCGGTACTTCTTGGCGTACTTATAGATGGCTGCCATGGCCACGTTGGTGTTGAACTCGTTCTGGTATTTCTAAGAACAAAGGCGAGGCAGGAGGTGGGAGGGGGCCGGTTAACTCAAAAGTCACACTGGGACACAGCCCCAGCTAAGACCAGCCGGGGGTTCAAAACTACTGCCCGCTTCTCAAGAGGCCTTCCTCCAGGTTCCTGTTCAGGGACCAGGCCCCACAAGTTGAGCAAGGAAAGGTGACTTGGGCCTTCTTCTCCACTCCACTCCCCAGCCTGCCCCTCTCATCTCGGAGGGTGCCTGGGAGCCAGCCAGAATGCACTGCCACCCAGACATGCCCTCAAGCTTGCGGCCCCTGCCCGCCTCCCCAGTCCCACGCCCACCCCCTGCGAGACCCCCGTGCAGCACACCCGAGACTCCTCGGCCAAGTGCGCGTTCATCTCCTGCTCGCTGAGCGGCGTCATGTCGTGGATCTGCTTGTAGTAGCGCTGCACAATCCTCCGGTACTCGGGAATCTCCTTGGCGTAGAGGAGCTTGTTGGTGGGGGAGTCCTAAGCAGACAGGCGTGAGGGAGTCACACACAGTGCGGGGCCCATCACCTCTGCCTGGACCAGCCCCCGGCCCTACCTACAGCTGTACACGAATTGCTCTGGTGGGGTCCTGAGGCCTGAGCAGCCCCACCCGAGTGCCCCGAGGGACAGTATCCAGGTATTTTCCCATCATGTCCCCTCCCTCCCTCCGAGTCCTCTCCTCTTCTGGGTACCTGGCTCCCGGCCTCCCTGGTGCAGGCAGCTTAGCTTACACCCTGGCTCAGGGCTACGGGTCTCGGTGGCTAAGACTTCCCAGGTGCTAGCTCCGTGGAAACCTTTCCCACCACGTGTTCCCAACGCACAAAAAGCCCAACGTGCCAAGGCACGCCCACCTCTTGGTTACCGTGGACACCGAGATGGGACGTGAGCGGGGGCAGTATTCTCTGTCTCTTGCAGGTTTGCCATGCACACCTTAACCCCACCCCCACGCCCCAGTTTCCGAGTGTCAGGTCTACTTGCTGCTGTTGAATTGCTCTGTCCCCACCAACTCACAGCGACCTCGTACACAATGGAACAAGACACTGCCCAGTCCCGCGCCATTGCTCAGACCGACTGCAGCTGGAACTACTGCGATCCCTGGTCTCTCTGAGTCTGGCAGCTCCCCTGGGATCTGTTCAGCATCACGGCAGCACACAAGCCTCCGATGACAGACAGGAGGCGGCTGCACGTGAGCGGCACGGGGTGGGAACTGTACCCACGTCTCTTGCAGACACCAAACCCAAGTAGGCTCCTCTTCCTCCTGCAGAGCAGCCTGGTGGGTGTGAATTACTACTGTCCAGCAGGACCCCGGGTGTGTGTGTGTGTGTGAGCATTCTCTCTCTGCACTAGACCACCGCCCTCAGGTCTACATAGCCAACCTCGTTCACTCCTAACACCCTCAGCAGCCAGTGCCCCCCACCCCCTGCCCAGGGCTCCCTGACTCCGCCTCTGCGTCTGCCTCTTGCCCACCCACCAAAGCTGGCTCTGTGGCCGCCAGGCCTGGAGGTTCGCAGCCTGGAGGTGTGCAGTGCACACCTGAGGCAGGTGACACAGGTCTTCAGCAATTCAGATTCCAGCGGCCAGATCCTGGGTGTCTTTTCCCATCTGGGCTGACCCTGTACACCCCACGTCCCCCACAGCTGGGGATGCCCAGGGCCCTGCCTGTCCAGGCAAAGCCCACCTTGCCCAGCTGCAGGTCAGAGACGGAGCAGGCGTCGATGAAGGCCTGAGCGATGACTGAGAGGCAGGCATCGATGTGGTCCGTCTTGTCAATGTCAAAGACGAACTGGGGGTTCTTCAGGATATTCACCCAGAAGCG